TTGGCAATACAATTGCAATACAATTGAATTTAGAGTGCAACTATGAACTGACCTCATGTGCTTTTGTTGTGTTTTGTAGATGTGTAGGATCCAGCGTGTAACATTTAGAAGGATCTATTGGCAGAAATGGAAAATAATATTCCATTTATAATATTACAATAGGTATGTTTTAATTGGTGTATAATCACCTGAAAATAGAAACTGTTGTGTTTTTGTCAGAATGAGACGTTTTTTTATCTATGGGGGGGCATGTCCTGCTCTATGGAGGCCACCATGTTTCACTGTATATAGGGTTTCACCATAGTTTCTCCTACATGCTTGAAAGGCTGAGCTGTATTCAAGTGGTTGAAATCTGCAACTTCACCGTTAGATGCCACTAAATCCTACACACTAGTCCTATAATGAAAATGTTTAAAATGTTTAGAAAAAATGTTTAAAAAAAAAAAAAGGATTAAAATGTTAATGATTAAAACTTTCACAACTACAGCACTTTTAGCAGCATTTTATTTAGGAAAATGTCTGCAAATCTAAATGCATTTTTATATTGTACCTGCAAGTTTAGACAAGCGTGTGTTTTGTCTCTGTACATGCAAATGAACATTAAAAATGAACTTTAAAGGTACACCTTCATACACTAAACAGGAACAGTTATCTGTATTGGGGGAGACGGTTGGCCAAAGGCATTTGGAGACTGTGGAGGTGGAGTATGGTGGAGAAACGGGTTGGGGGGGTAGGAGGGCGTCTTTTCAAGCCAGCAGAAAGGTTTTACTCTGACACACATCCCACTTGTTATGACATGTAGAGACACATCTAAAAGCAAACTCCTAAGAGGTTGCTGAGGGCGACCTCAGTAATATGCAAATTAATTCCACCAGAGTATCTTAGACAATGCACAAAGCTGTCTAAACTGGAAGCCTATTAATACATTAAGTTATGATGCTCAGTTGTGTTATAAAGAAACAAAGCCGGTCCACAACAGCACACTGAGTGAACCTAAACTTTTTCTGACCCAATTACCTTAGCTGATCTGCTTTGACTCCTCTGGCCTGTACTGTTACTGGAGTTACACTGCCATTTGTATCTCTTCTAAGATTCCTCATGAACATTTCATGTGAGGTGTCTTATAAATTATGAGGGCTCCTCCAGCTGACATTATGAGGAAAAATGGCAAAGCCTGCCTTTTCTTCTCTGGCTCTTATCATAAAACAAAGGCTAGCTCAAACCAGGAGGAAAGGCTTTCCCGACAGCTCAGAGTCCTGTGCGTAGTACAGTATGCCCAAATGAATCTCTCTGCTTATTTCCAATGACTATCTCTCTAACATCTGATAATAACATTACAAAAACATTCATGCCACTGCTCAAAAATCCCCCCACTTTGTATAAATATTGATTGGATATTAAAATTTCACTTCTTTCTTAATTCTATACAGTGGAATACCAAAAGCCTGGGATCGCATAAAGGAGTTCTCAACTTGTCATTTTGGTATTAAAGGAGAAATAAAAAGAGATTGTCTGCGGCAGAATGAACTACACTGCATAAGTATCATCATCACTAATTGTAAATAATGCAAAGCATCTCATCCTTTCAATTATTCAGCTTTATGTCCTGGTTTTGGTTGACAGAAATGTAGTGATGACAAAATATTGTAAGTTCCTCTGATGCACAAATGCCAAGGCATCTGTACTGCAAGCTGAGTAGCTGTGTCTTATTAGATTTCCACAAACACAGTACACCTACGCAGAACCTAAGTGGATTAAATATGACGGATGATGACATTTGGAGAAAAGGCTCTTTCAGATTACTCAAATCTAATCTGGAACTCTAAATCAGGACTAATCAGTTGCTTTTCAAAGAAGCTTCAATCATAGGAGGAATTTCTGGCTTGCAAACTGGGTTTCTCGCATGAAAAGCCGTTCTTTTATAGTGCATCATTTTCAGGTTTTTTACAGTTTGAGAGGCATTTGCTTTTAAAAAACGGCTGCTTTTTGTGTTCCCGTTTTGCCAGGAAAAAAAAGTCCTCAAAGCCATGACCTGTGTAATTGCTGGACAGAACTTGTTGTATGGAGCGTAATAATGTTGTGTAATTTATAAGCTACAGATGGAGCTCAATTGAGTCTAATGAAAAATTTCCCTGTGACATCACAGTGCCAGAGTGTAACGCTAATTCGATTCAATTAACCCCCTCTGGACCAATGGAAACTGGCTGTTTCAGATTAGGAGCTCATCAAAGACATTAGTGACACCAATAAAACTTTGCTATAGGAAGACAATGATCCAGTCCAGTAGTGCACTAGAGATCGCAGCCCCACTTTGATTAATCTTGTTAATTACTAGCCTTAGGGTTTCAACAAATGCTAGCCCTCTTCCCCCCTGAACCCCACCAAAAAAGGAGAGGCTTGTGTGCCATTAGATTCTTTGTAATTACAAAAGTCTCATGCCTTGGGACTGATTCTCCCACAGCCCTGGATATACTATGAAAAACATACCGGACTAAAGTCAGTTTTAAAATTAGAGTGGTGGCTATATGTGCATTATTCAGCGGGGGAGGACGGGGGGCTCTGTGGATTTGCAAAGCAGCATGTGCCTGTGCTTGAACTTTCTCCTAATGAGTCCCTGCAGTCACCTCACTCGAAGGCTCCTGCCCTCATCCTCTTTCTTTCTCTCGGTTAATTCAGCTGTCGCCTTGTTTAACCACAAGATGACCCTCCTGCCTCCCTCCCTCCCTCCCTCCACTCCAGTAACAGCCAGCCGCTGTCAGCTGGGGACGCACACGCTATCCCTAACTTGTTCTGGCTACCTCGGCTCACATGTGACCCATTTCTCCCATGTCCTTGTTTTACCAGCCTTCAGCCAGTCAGCCTTATAGTTGGCAAATAGTGGCAAGTGCATGCATGGTATGGCAGCCTACAGTTCATGCCAGTTCTGCTTCACATACACATTCACCCAAAAATTAGGCCAACAAGGCTTTGATGGCCATTCCTCTTTAAAATGACTACACTTTGCTTAAGCCAGCAGATCCATTTGACCTATGTCTAATGTGAACCAATTAAGGTTTTTACATCAGTGCGCACCAACGTGAAGCCGAATATCCCTTAATACCAGTTAAATACATGTCCCTGTAGCTATAATACACCTACACATGCTATCATGGTGTGCTGTGTGATTATGTGCTGATATAAAGCCTGCTCCAGAGTCCCATTGAATGTATTGAGTGAGGTATCTAATGGGCATGGGAACTAATTCCAGGGCAAAGGGGATTAAAGGCTAGAGAAGAGAGAGCAGCAGAGGGATGGCACTCGCTGGCAGCAAAGGGTGCAGAGGGCGGAAAAATAGAAATGAAATATAAATGCACAGAATCCTTGTCTTTTGAATCCTATTTTGCAAAATAGTATTAAAAATTGGTATTTTGTTTAATCCTGGCAGTTATATTTATATATTTTTTTCAAATGAGAACAAAATTAAATATCAAGTGCTTCAGAGAAACAAATGGGAGAGAACTACTGTACAAAAAAAACAACCGCTGGACAATCTAACGAGATACAGAGATGTATCAAAATCAGGATGTTTCATCTGTCCGAAGCCTTTATCTCTCATTCTCATTATACCCTGAGCAAGAGTTGAGCCTTATCGTTTGATCACATTGATATAGTTTTGAGACTCTACCTTGAGGACTGCTTCCCAGACAGGTAGATATGCTGCTGTGTCTACACATGGAAATCAACGGATAAGAAGCACCAAGAATACTAGACTAACCTTGTCTGTATCACACACACCTGCACTGTACTCAATAGCCTCCAGACATTTTCCAAAAACATTGTTCCTGTGATACAAAACTAACTTTGTGGGTCACTGGGTGGGCTAATCTAGGAAACCTTATGCCAGTTTTATTCTATTAACCCACTATCCCACATTGTTTAATTTAGCCTTTATCACCAAAAATGTGACATGGCTTTGGTTTTGTAGTACAAACAGTACTTTTCTTCAGACTCATTTAGGGGCCCGTTTGTTTCTTCTTTTAGTTTCACAAAACATCACAGTGAAGAGTGACAGTGCTCCTAAATAGACCACACTCCCTGCACTAATGTTTTTTTAGGACTGCTTTTGCAATGTATCAAAAAGGATAATGTGTGTGTGTGTGTGTGTGTGTCTCTGTGTGCGTGTGTGTGCATGTGAGCTTTTCCCAGTATTAGTGTTGTTGATGTGAATCAAAGAGTGACTCATGGGCTAATTTTAGCCACTTTGCTACTCTCACCTATGAATGCTACACTGTGAAGTGGCTGTTGTGTCACACTCACAGCAGAGGAATAGGTCCGCTGGTAGCAGAAATGATTATATTCTTTTGTTTGGTGATTCATAACATGCACAAGAAAAGTGACCCTGTTACAATGTGGTAATAAGAAACTGTGCTACCTACTCTAAGCTGACATTTTGAGCAAGTAATGTATCTCAAGAGATTTCCTAGTGAAAGAACTGTTAAATAAACTAATACAAATAAAATAGATAATTTTACATGCTGTATATACGCTGCCAATATGGGAAAGAGGATGCTGTCTCAGTTTATGCAGTCCATTATCTGACATGCTTTTGCTGCTGTAGATCTGTGAGGAGTTCGCTAAACAGGTGTTAGGCCAAATGTTGTAATGCTGAAAAGATCAGACAGGAAACATTTTCTTTCAATGTATTTCATTGTATGTAAAAAATTTAAATGATCACTATTTAATTGCTGAAGCTCTTAGTGGCTTTATTATGTTACTATAATTTAATACTATCCATCTTTCTGTCCAAACACAGAACGCCTCGCAGCTAGCATCAAACAGAATCCAAGCCTAGCTAGCATGCTAAAACTCCCAAATGCTGTCCTGTCCCATTACCTTCCTGCATAAATCTTAAAACAAAAAGCATAAAATAAAATAGGATTAGTGTGTGTGGTATGTCAAAATGTCTTCTGTCAAAAGTCTACTGCTGACCAAGTGTGTGTGAGACGAGCTATCTTTCTTACCAAAATATTCCTCAGATGGCGGGTTATCCATGTCAAACAGCATCTTCTTGGTCAGGCGCTCCAGCTCGTCTTCAGGGTGGGCGATGGGTGCACTGCCCTGAGAATAAGGAAAGCAAGAAAATTGTGATTCACAAAGCCGAGTGAGGTAATGAAGAACATTTCATCAGTTTCATGCATTTATTTGCACCTCGCTGATGGATATCACCTCTGGTCTACGCGATACAAATGCTGCCTAAAAATGCAAAGAAAAAGTGCAAGAATGTATCGCTTAACAAAATACGCCCAGGTTCGACTTTAAGATTCACAAAAAAACCTGACTTCAATAAATGGATGATGTGCTGTCACAAGGTCAAACAAAGCACATTCACTGTAATCAACATGCAGTGGATGGTCTTGAGTCTGCCTTTCCCCTCTGAGGTATCTGACCCTGGCTCAGGCCCCAGTGGTGGTGCAGCCCAGAAGGTTGTGCATATCCTTCTGTGCAATACAAGCGTGTGGAAAAAACTGTGACCCTGACTAATCCTTGTATTTTGGAAAATAATGATAACAGAAAGAAAAGAGGAGGCAAACAGTAGAAGAAAGCTACTTTTTAAGTCTTGTACATTTGGGTGATAGGTCAGGAGATAGTTATTCAGTCATACTCTGAGCACAAACGACTTCAGGTGTGAGCTGCGTTGAGGCCTAATCTGTAAGAGACTTTAGAAGGATGACATAACTCTCTGAAGATGCCACTTCCTTCCTTTCCTTGTGAGCCTGCCCTCCCTCTTATCATGCAGTCTCTGACATCTGCCTGCTGTGTGTCTGTATGGGGCTGACGTGTTGTGCCTGACATTTTCTGCCAATCATTCGCAGCTCCCCCATCCCCCATCCCCGGCTCCTAGCGCAATCCAGTCACAGGTGTGTGTGTCCTTTGCAGACACCCTGGAGGCCTGAACTTGACTCTTTTCTTGCTGTGTGGCTGAGCTTTTTCAGAAATCAGTGACACTCCGATGACCTTCCCTAGATCTGGGGCCGGCTGGATCTTTACAGTAGATTTGATTTTCAATATTGTAACACGGGCTGAGATCTGAGCTGACCTTTGAGGTGTTCCTAATTGTGACATCTGGGAGCTGGGTGAATGTTAGCGACCAGTCTGGTTTTGTACTTATTTATCCATGGTTTACTGTGCCACATAAAGGAACCAGATTTATCAATAGGAGATTGAGTGAAAAAATGTTTTTGTATTTAGAATGAAAGAGTAATTACAGATCGTGTCAAGCAGCTCATTTGGAACTATTGATGACCAAATTTGTATGCGCGTAATTTCCGGTAATTTGACTCATTGTATGTGTCAGTCAAGGTTTCACTAGTATATATAAAATAGGTGTCATTTTATCAAATATATTAAAGAGGCCATTTTATGCTTTAGCATACTACTTGCATGTGAAAACCTAACCTGGTGGATTATCTTTATTTTTTGGATGGAAATGTCTGTAAATCATCTAAGAGATAAGGGTAAGTGCTCTGTTGTTGACTGCACAAACCATCTGCGGGGGACTTGGAGTAGTCACTTTATTTTTGGTGGAAATGTTATGGAAATGTCCAAACAATAAAAAACTGGAGTGTGTTTGTGCATTTGACTTTACTACTTCATCAAGCTAAGCTACTATGTTCAAGCTAAGGATGGATCAATACTGGCTGTCCGTCACCCAACTTCAAACTTGGAAGCTTTGCCTTGTTTATGTTGTTTTACTTTTTCTTTGGTAAGTTGTAGTAAGGTGATGCTGAACTAATGTAATATTGAGGGGCAGTAAAGAGAAACTGTGTGAACGTTAAGCCTCAGTTGAAGTCAAATAAATAACAAGAGTGGTAGTTTGGATGCCAGTAACTGTTTTTTGATGTTGTTTTTTGTGTAACTTCATACTGCAGAACTAATGTTAGCTCAGCTAGCGTGACCAATGAGAGCGGACTGGGCTACTCTGGAGCGCTTCAGACAGAGGATGAAAAGAGGTGTTGCAGCAATGGCCAGTATTAGAAAAATAATGTGTTGCATTAAACCTATTACAGTAGACGCCCTAAATACGAGTATTAACCTAAAAATGTGCATAATATTTAGAGGTGGTAATGCAAATATACAGTAGATGTGGTGTGAGGACATGCAATGGTCTACTGAGTTTATTTCCAGAGACGGTGAGAAATGCTGAGCTCTGATTACTGTCCACGATGTATCAAACAGCACCCAGAACTTTATGATGCATGACTTTTGCTCGGCCCGGCTCAGGATGCAGCAGGCTGATAATGGAAGCCCAAACAGTAGGCCTCATTAACTGTGAGGGATCGACACGTTCGATGTGCAAATCTTTCTGCCAAGCTCTCTAGAGAGCAACTGGGCCGGAGCTCTTGGAATTCCTGGCACCTTGCGCCTCCTCGGCCACTCAACCATAAACGGCAAAGACCACATCATGGAGGATTAAGAAGAGATGAAAGGAACATTCCTCAGTGGTTGGATTTTCCTCTATTGTTGACTCAAATTACATGACTTTCTTTTTAATAATACACAACGGTCAGTGGAGGTTTACGTGGAGGGGGTTGAATTTGAATACAACCACCTGCATAACAGAGTAGATAATACGTCTGTATAATATTCGTACACCTCAAAGGAGTGCTCTTGTTGACGACACACTGCTCATTATGCCTGTGTTGTTAGTTTGAGACAGTGAAGAGGACGATTTAACACTGTTAATCTTAGCTCCACATCAAAAGCACATTGGAGAGGGAACGAAATGCTGCTATTACCAGAAACAGACTTTTGAGTTTAAGCTTCATTTATACCTTATCCACTCTTTGACACCCTGCAGCAATGCACTGCCAGAGAGTTTAAAGCACCTTGTTAGGGAGTCTTTTGTGACAGCACGGAATAATTTTTCACTTGAATAAGAGAAAGAAATTGCTTCCCTGCATGCTTTATGATTGCTTCGCAGTTCCTGTTCAGCTTTTCAGAGGCAACAATAGAAACCATACAGCAGCTATACGTGGTAGAGACATGGTTTTTCAGTTATGTCTGGCTCAGTTCAGTAAATTGTTTGCCTGCGCCCTCGGGACACTCAGCCGCAGTTTCATTGAAGTTAGTGCGGTTTACGTAAATTCAGCGGTGACTGGGTTAACAGCTGCACCTATTTCCCACTTTTTTCCCCCAGTATGTCAAGGCTTATCGTTTCAGGTCATCTGCCGTCTGCTTTTTAATGGCAGAAATCCTATCAGTTGTAATGCCCACAAAAGACATCCTGATGGACCATCAAATGCCATCCACTTGACAAACGATTTGCAGAGAGTTGTTAAATGCCAGACCACTTAAAATCAAAAACAACAATAACATCTGTAAATGACCACTGTTGCGTGCTACCTGATACAGCATGACAGTGAAAGGTGAGCAGAGAAAGCCTGGGTCTGAGAGCTGATCTCTGCTTGACTGCCACATCTATGAATGAAGCTGTGCGTGCCACCCACTGTGGAATTGGCATTGTGTCAGAACTGATTAAGTGAGGAGTGGATGGTGGGTGTGGGTGGGCAGAGGGGGCTCGGTACGTGCTCTCACCTGATGCCCTGACAGCATTGTGTCCCACTAAGAACCAAACCTCAGGCTCTTTCTTTCCTGCTTCCACCACAGTGATAGAGAGTGAACAGGAGAGACAACTGTTCTCAGGGCATCAGATCTAAACCTTTGTTAGTGGAGGTGGAACAAAGGAGGGCAAGTGAACTGGAAGCTGGAACTATTTACATATCACCTTCTATGGTAGAGAACAAGTGGAACAGATCTGTGGGATAAATCATAGCAGTGCAACCCAAGGGTTAACTCTGCTTTGTCCTGGTGTCTGGATCCAGACATACAGACAGCCAACAGGCATACAACAACAAAATATTTAAGTTAAGTTGAAATTAAAATATATTTTTTCAAAGAAGTCAGTTTATATATATGCAGTGTTTGTTTTGACTTGCATTTGGCCAAAATGGTTATCACCGAAAAGAATAAATCTAAATTTAATTCATTTACTGCAGTGAGAGTGCCCCCTACAATTTTCCAGGGGATGCACATTTTCGATTAGTTCAATATGGCTGCAGGCAGGCACTAAACATTGTTTGTTATATTTTTTAAATTCTAACAGTCACACAGGCTGGACAACAACATTGTTTGCCACTGCTTAGTCCCATCCGTGATTCTACCATTCTCTACAAGACTCAGTGTCATGATTGGAATCACGGGATTCACGCTAGCTGAACCCCCTCCTTTGTATAACGCAATACAAACACAGTACAGAGTGTGCAAAAGCTGCTAATGACTTAGCAAGTGTTAAAATAAAATGAACAAAAAGTAAAAACTAGTGCAAATCAGTGTAAACATTAGCAAAATAGGCTAACTAGCTTCTCTTTTCTATGTGGAAGGTAGTTAGCATAGTTTGCTAGCTTCCAAATTCCAAATGACATACAAACTTAACAGCATTATGACTCCCAAATGTTGTAAAGGACTAGGAATGTAATGATATACCGCAAGAATGTTAAATTGCAAAACATGTACATATTTTTGCCTTTATTGGATAGGACAGCTGAAGAGTGACAGGAAAGGGGGAGAGAGAGGGCCGAGGGCCACAGGTCAGACGCAAATCTATGGCTGCCAGCTTGAGGCTTGAGAGGCTTGAAGCTTACACTTTGGTTCCACAAATACGATTTTATCCTTTTTTGAATGTACAAGTCATTAAAGTTTATATTTCCTTACACAAAAAGTGAGGAGAGTTAAAATTTCAGTTCAACTTTTGAGGAATCAAACTGTATTCTCATTTTCCGGCCAGTACTTTTTTATGCAGTGTGCACAGACAATGAGATTGAGAGCCGCTGCACAAACAGCACAAACCACTGAGCTGAAAGTGGTAACCAGAAGGGGAACAGTACAGACACTGTAGAGGGAGCCCATTGAAAGACAAGTGCTAACACTAATCTGTGTCTCCAAACCTGCAGTCATCTATCAGCCGTGTATTGCTTCTTTTATACTTCCTGTAAACGCAATATTGCACCTTAAACCAAAAGCAATTGTCTTACCTTTTACAATAGCTGAACACTTCCTGC